CGCGGCCGGCGGGAGGACCAGCTGCTGGACGCCGAGGCCCGGTGTGACGCGTGGGTGGGTTTTTTGCGTTTGTGTGAGTGGGTGCGCGTGGGGGCTATGTTTGTTTGTTATGTTTTTTTTCCTTCCAAGCGCCGATTTTTCGCCGCCCGGGTGTGGGGAAGGGTTAACCAGTCCCGGGGCAGGCGGTTCCGGCCCTTCGGCCGGTCAGGCGAGTGCAAGCGGCAGCTTCATTTTAGCCTCGCCACCTCTGAGGGAAAGGCGGTCTTCCTACCCGGTTTCTGCCACCTCTTCTGTGAAACCGTCGCTTATTTATCGAAGATAAAACCTTTCGTTTCCCCGCAAACAACCTTGATTGTCTTCTGTGACAGAATCTCTCTCCATTTCCTTCCCCTCTCCCTCCCCCCTTTCGCTGTGGGCTGATGCAGTGGTCAGAAGAGTTGCTCTTGATGACTTCGTTTTATGACAGGATCCTCTGAGACTGAGTAATAAACAATTACATTCTTCTTGTTGATTTCTTTCAAACTCCGTTTGATCTCAAATGTGGTTTTATGAGATAACTCCATATAAGGGAGTATCTCCCGTGTTTTCTCTAATTCCAATAGAAATGAGCTTTTTATTTACAGTTCCTCTGCAGTGTTTGCGACCAAAGCACTGCAGGAGAATGCTTTTCGGTGAGAATATTGAAGACATCTTTTACAAAATTTCATTGCTCTAACTTTGTTTCATGAGTGAGAGGAGGAAATAAATACCTCAGACTAGATGTAAAATTTCAGATTGACGAGTACAGGTAGTGTTTAAAAACCAGGTGTTATGATACGCTTTTTAACATGTGCTTTTTAACTTCCAACTGCTAGGTACCATAATACTCTATTGTTACTGTGTAAGAATATCAGTGCACTAGGCACACTAGAAACCAGCAACAAAGTTCATTGAGTTACAGGCTTGTTCTATAAACATATGGATGTTAGCTTGTAAAAACAAAAACAAGGTGACTGTCAGCTTTTTCACCTTCCATTGCAACTTGGGTTATGCTTTACATTCATAAAATTCTTACTGAAAACATAGTATGCCAATGACAGGCTAAGTCAGAACAAATGTATTTACTTCCCATTACTAACCTGTGTGTGGGTTTCAGGCTGATGTCATAACTTCCATAGTGCAGTGATTGACTTTTTTTAAAAAGGGTGGGTTTTTTACCTATTTGAGTGTTTCTGCCAGTGTCTCGTGTTACCTTCATGGTTGTTTAAATGTAGCAGTTGTTTGTGCTTATTGGAAGGTGGTGTAAGATTCAGACTTTTTATTATGTTTTTGAAACATCAAAGCATTTTTAATACTGACGGCTGAATTTTAATAAAATCAAATTACCTTGCTACAATGGTTGTAATGTTGCAGATTAGAGCTTACTGAGGCTGAATCCTAAAATAATAAATATTTTACTTTTCTGAAGAGCTTTTAGATGCTGTTTTGGACAGTCTATCATAAGGTAAAGGAATATGTATATTTAAATAGACACTGTGACACTGCCTTTAGTCTTCCAGTTTCTCATCCCAGCTCTTTTTCTGGACTGCAAGGATGAAAAAAACCAACCCCCTTTACTGGAATAATCAACATATAATATCAAAATAATGTGAACATATGGCTGTAGAACTGGACCGAATGTTCTGGGGTTTTTTACTGGAGATTTTGTATTCTGAAAAGGGAAAAACTAGTGATCTAACTTGTTATGTGATGGAATTCCTTGAATTCATATTCATAGAAGCTTTTTTCCTCCCTGATTCTATTTTTGTTGTGGTTTTTTTTTATAATTAACAAAAGTATATAATAGCAAGAGGAGAGATTTTAATACTACTAGACTTAAACTGTTATAACAAGTGGGTATCACTACAGTTTTGTGTCAACAAAATTAAATGTTATCAAACTTTTCTAGTTTCTTATGATTTGCATGTATCAGATTTGAAGTAATTGATTGAGGCCATTTTTGGATTGGTAATTTTTTTTACATTCTGTACAACCATTTTTAACAATGAAGTCATATCTGAAGCATAGAAACTGGAATGATCTATTTTCCTCTTTTCCTGTGTTTTGTCAGTGGTGATTTTTTTTTTTTCCACATGGGGAACAGAGTTACTTCTGAGAGGTTTTTATCAGTTATGATTTCTTTTGTGACGAGGATACCTCCTTCTCTGTTCTTTAACATCCTTTCCATATAAGTTCATATTGCTTATTCTACTTAGTTTTTGAAAAATATAAAAATAATTATATTCTTGGTCCTGAACACAGTTGGGCTTCAAGAAGTAATAATGATGTGGACTGCACTTTTATCACCCATTGTTTTTTGCTTTGCTGACAAGGCACGTCCATCATAAACTCTTTCATTGCCTTCAGGACATAAGGGCTATGTGTATGATGAGCTTATGATGCTACACTGAATATCACTTTTACTAAGGAACTTACTAGAATAGTTACTATAAGTATGCCTTGAATATAGTGATGTTTTTTTTCACTGAAAAAAAGGTTAGTATTTATTGCATTCTTAGATAAAATGTGCAAACCCAGAACTATGATATCCTTTCAAACAGGAAATCTTTTGGGTTAAAACAGCCACAGTTTTATTTTGTTTACAAAAATATTGTGGATGTAGCTCCTCTTTCAGCCACATAATCTATAACCTGTTTGGAGGAGCCTAAGTATCTTCTTTTTTTTTTCTTTTTTTTTTTTCTTCTGCCCCAGTAGCATTTTTTGGTGGGACTTTAGATTTTGTTTTTTGGAAGTGTTGGAAATTTTACCTTAAATAATGCAATTAATGCTTTTTCTTCTTGGATGGTAGTTCCAGAATTGCCTCTGCTGACAAGTATTAGCCATATTCCTTGGACACTAGGGTGCAGACAAGAAAAAGCCACTTGTGAGGAGCACTGTTTTCCTACTTAAGAAGAGATACAGTGGAAGAAGGAACTGCTACAGCTGAGAAGTGTATAACACTTCCTGTTTTTACCTAAATTTTGGGTATCGTTCTTTTACGGCATATGCGAGGTAACGTATCATGCCAAAGGCATAGAACTATGTAGATTCTGTACACCATCAATAAAGTGATAAGAGAGGCGATGGTGGATGCTGTGTAAGAAATTGTGATGGACTGAATCTCTCAGGAGGAATAGTTAGTACTGCATATTCCCCTAGCGCTTACTGCTGCAAAGCTTTTCTGGTTTTGCCTTTAACTTAATTGGGAGAAATGAATATCAGTGAAGTTGCAGCCAGCATTCACATTTTTTAACACATCGAGGAGGAACCTTGTGGGACTTTATGTGAGGCATAGAGTCAAAGACTTGTTGGACGCATTCTATTTTTATGTGTAGGATCAGATGGTTGTGTTTGTTGTTTTAATAGAAGTGCGAGTGAAATTTTTGGAGAGTTTTTAGTTATTTTTTTTTTTTTTTTTTTTTGTCCAGTTAATTTTGTGTGACACTGCAACTCTTCTCCAAAGATTACTATGACCAATGCATATTTTATGTTAGAGTAAGCAATGTACAAGTGGATCTCAAGTATTACATTGTGCATTAATATCTTAATTGCTACATATGTTCCTGACCTATGAAGGCAGGTGACATGACTGATAAAACACAAACCAAAGATGGTATCTGCAGTAGTTATTTTTCCATTAAGCTATCTTCCAGGTCAATTAAGAAAAAGGGGGTTTTGTTGGGGTTTTTCTTGTTTGGTTGTTTTGGGTTTTTTTCAAATGAGGTATCCACTTGTCACGTATTCAGTCTAAAACCTTTCTGAAAAAGTCCAAAGTGGTCATTGCTTATTCCTAATCTAAACCCAAAATATTTTCAAATCAGTGCACACTGTTCTCTTCCCTTAGGAAGGTCACTACTAATACAGTTCTTTGTTGTAAAAGTCTAAAGGAAGATGTGTCACTTTGATACACTTAATATTAGGAATTTTCAGTGATGTTGAGATAAAATATATTGCAATTAATTCAGAGCTGTATAGTTATCAGCAATACTGATATCATCCTTGTTTGCTGAATAAATCTGAACTGACTGTAGAGAATAATTTGCAAGTTTATCAGCCATTATTAATGGAGTTATTTATTGCAACAAAGCTTAAAGGCCATTTCGTGGTTTTTTTGGATCATGTCACTTTTTTTAGGATGACAGAATATGGCCTATTCTGTGGTAAAAATAAGTTCATCAGCTTCAGCAAGTCAACGAAAAGTATTATCAGAGTAGCCTATGAATAGTAGAATATTTAAATATATTTAATAGATACGTGTGGATTCTAATGAAACGTATGAGAAAATTTTGAGGGAAAGGATACTTTGTTAGTTTCTCTTCGTAGATTAACATAGATGAGATTGTTGCCCATTGCAGACTTCAGAGAGAATAGGTATTTGACAAGAAAATTCCATTCCACCAGATCGAGTTATGTTAATCTAACAAATCCAAGTTTGATGTGAAATATATTATAAAAAAACCACCTAGCTTATTCTTTTATTTATATTAAGATTGCATACAGCTGTGGAACAGCCCCCATTATGCTAAGACTTGTCCATACATAGAATAAAGACGGTACCTTTTTTGAAGAATTTGCAGTCTAATGCTTGGTATTAAAATCAAAGCTCACATTTATTATCTTTTTAAACGTTTAGGGGTTTTTAGGTCTTTTTTTTTTTTCGTCCTTACAAGCTGGAGGCATCTTCAGAAATAAAAAATAATCTTCAAGAATGGAGGTTTGAAGAAGCAAACAAATGATTGACTAATTGGGGGGGGTGGGAGGAAAATGTCTTGCTCCCTTTCGATCATGACTCACTGTTGGAATTTACAAGTCTTATGTGTTTGTCTAAATTAAAAGCTTAGTATTACCATACATTAATTACTAGCACAGGATAGCTCAAAATACGTCAACTCTAACTGAATATGCTAGCCTGGGATATAGGAGATTCATTCTTGGGTTTGTGTCAGACTCCAGCAAAGTGGGATTAATTTTTTTTTTTTTCTCCTTAAATTGGAAAATTATATTATTAGGTGATTTCAAATACCTTTAAAATCTTT